TGGGTGGAGAGTAGGAAGGATTAAGTTCATCAGGGTGGGGGCCCCCATGACTGGCTCCTCATAGGTTCTAGGAGAGGGACTGAGACCAGCACAGACACACTCGCACACGTGCATGCGTACACACACAGATGCACGTGTTCCTGCCCCGCACTGTGCTATAACGCAGCTGGAGGGCCCTCGCTGGGCACGGCCCCTGGGACCTGGGGCCTCCGAACCATGAGCTGAATAAACCTCTACTCTTACAAATCACCCACTTTCTTAATCCAACTGTGAACAGCAGAACAGTCTAGAATACCAACCTTTACACTTCACATGAAAACAAGCTCAATCTTGGTATCTGGCTGTAAATAGTGAAGTATTTAAGTTATTTCATACATTTAAAAGTAACATGTTTAAATTTTTGTTTCCTGAAGTAATAACATAGCAAACGTGTTCAGAAGCTTAACGTGCAATTTTTGAGTCAGATTTGACCTCACTATTGATTATAGTCTTTTTTATTTTAAGCTCCTCAAATCTGTTCTTTAATACATGTCGAGAGACACAGAGTGAACTATTTCCACCTTCATGGAAAGCTAGAGTGAAAAATAAGGCCCCTCTGACTTCAAGAGCCCCACGAGAGTAACTGTAGGTTATTATTATTGAAGATACTTGGGGTTTATTGATGTACCCATCACTCATCTCGTACCCCATAGCTAACTTTCCTGATCTGGACTGGGGGGAAAAACTGGACAGAGAAACTACCCAGGCCCTCCCCCGGCTCCGCCATGACTTTGATACACAACACGGTTTCATTCTGCCCCCTGCAAAAACAAACAAGGCACGCAGCAGGTGTCTCTGAGTTCTCCTTAACCCCAGCCCTCTCAGAGTCCCAAAGGCCTAGTTCTGAGCACAGCCTGCCCCTGCTCAGCAATGCAGGACCACCCACCTCCCACCACAGCCCAGCCAGAACCCCCAGAGATGTGCTCCCCACTCTGGTCTGGGCTCCCCTGGGGCCTCGGCCTACAGCGGCCTCCCTCTATCTTTGCGAACTGAAATCCAACTCATTCTTTTTTTTTTAAGAGAGAGATTTTTGCTATAGGGCGCGTGTACTCGCCAGAGAGAGAGAGGCAGAGAGATACAAAGTATACAAAGTGAGAAATCGCCCCCCATGGAAGATGGCCACAGCATAATCCCTTCTCCATTCTCCTCTAGGGACTTTGGGCACACACGCACACGCACCCGACGTGAGTTTTAAGCCACTGGGTCCGGGACTTGAACCGCAGTTGACTACGTGGGAGTCCAGCGACGTAACCATCTGCTGGTCCCCCAATTCTTTCTTAATGGTCTAGTTCAAAGGTCTGTTTCCTTTAAGACTTCCTAATCCTCAAACCTGAAACTGAACATTCTCTCCCTTGAGCATCCAAATACTTCTACGTATTTTAAAATAGCTATCTACTACCAACTATTTATCATTTTACTAATTATCTATGAGCATTTCTGAAACACCGTTTTACTAAGAGTCTAGAAATGGAAACACTTACCACCTTGGCCCCATAAACGGGTGTCTACACCTTCTCAGGAGGTGCCGCCGCCCTGTTCTCCCAGGACAGGCTTCATCAGCGTAGACCGGCTATCCTGTTCTCCCAGGAGGACAGGCTTCAGCAGTGTAGACCGGCTATGACTCTATGACTCTAGAGAGAAATTTCTCATTCTACCCTAACTTCTCATTTGGAGCCGTCAAATTATACATGAGAAATCAACAAAATGAAATAAGAGCTTATTTCCGAGGTTCATTTTGGGTCCAGCTCAACATCACATTACAAAAATAAGGAGCTGTATTTAAAGCTACAGGCTGTCCAAGACCTTCAATACATTTCCCATCGATATTCAATCTATTCTTCTGGCTAGCTTTAGCAAATTAATTATCGCAAGGCGAGAAACTGTTAAGTTACTAAAAAGGTCTATCAAGTATTCTGAGAGTCTAATATCACTGCAACAACAAGTTAAATTTAATTTTAAATATTGTATAACTTAGTTTATCAGACAGAACTAAAAACAGAACGAATCAATAATCCTAGGAGTAAAATGAGGTGCAAGTATTTCAATGACACATTATAGAAGAGTAACTTCACAATTTAAAAATTTAAACACACACACACACACACATTCTTTTTTTTTTTGGAGAGGTTTTTGCTATAGGGTGCGTGCGCTCGCCAGACAGACAGAGAGAGACATAGAGACAGAAAGCGAGAAATCACCCCCCAGGGGGGATGGCCACGCTGCAATCCCTTCTCCTCCACTCTCCTCTCGGGATCTTGGGCACGCACGCACACGTGCCCAGCGTGAGTTTTAAGCCACCGGGTCCGGGACGCGAACCGCGGTCGACGTGGGAATCCAGCAACATAACCATTATGCTAACTGCTGGTTCCCCCCACACACACATTCTGTCCTATCACTTGTAAACAGCATGACCATAAAGCTAGGTGGGGATAAGTTAAGTATCAGTGTTATCGCGTACCAGTCCAGGAAGAGGGAGGGGCAGAGAGCCACGTGGTATTGGCACAAGTAATTCCTGTGCTATAAAGAAATGGCACCGCACTGCCACAGAAATCAATGAGCCACCGAAGGGGCCACGTCATCCCAGGTTTTGGCCCATGAAACAGGACTACGAAGTTACTTGTGGCTTGAGCTTTGAAAGCATTTGTAAATATCAGCCTCTCTTTTGGTTTCTTCCCATAAAACTTAGAGTCGAGAACTAACCGGGCAGTCTGGGTCACAGCAGGGACGAGTTCTTCGACCTTTTCCATTTTTACTCTTTATTCCTCTTTCCACTTTTCTCCACAAAGAACCGTTGGCTGAAGCTTCCTGGGTTGACTTTGTTCCCTATCCCCTGCTTTACCTCCCAGTGAACAGGGGCTCTCTGTGTCCGTCTTCATGGCCCAGCTCACTACGTCACTGAAGGGTTATAAGATACCCTTGCCCACGGCCTTCCTCCCTCCTGCAGGGTGGCGCCATTTTCCATGGGTGCCTGCAGAGTCCACCGTTCAGTCCCTCAGATTTCTTACGTTACCACAAACTCTCAGCTGGACCGAGCAGGAGAGGATAAATACCCACGCCAGTGTGTGGCTACTTCCTAGGGACCTAGGAAACAGCTCCAATACCAGGGCTTCATGGTCGCTGTGACTGTTTTTAATTTAAAAATTTAAGAATATTTATCTAATTTTATTTATTATCATTATTTTTAATTCACCCAGAGAGAGACAGAGAGAGAGGGAACATGAGAAAGCAAGCCACCAGGTTCGGGAATTGAACCATAGTCGTCGTCCATTTGGGCATCCAACACCACAAACACCATGGCACTTCCTGGCCCCAAAATACCAGTTTTTTAAAGGTAATAAACTGACAAGCTATTTAAAACATTATATTCTTCTGACTTACACTTCCATCCTTATTCATCCAAACACTAATGGCGCGTTTTCTAAAATGTGCCTTTCGGAACTTCTATTTTTAGAAAGAATATCCCATTGGTCAAGTCAGTTTGTGAAACAGGGACAGCTGCATGCATCACCCTCTTGGAATTCACAGCACCAGCATGGTGAAGGCCCTGAGAAACCCGCAGTAAAGAGTTCTGGTTTCTCTTGTTCAGTCCAGGATTTCCCCAAGCTATCTCTCCACAGAACCAGTTCCCCTCGTGATAGTTACTAATGCCCTAAGAAACCAAGGTTCCTCCAGAGACAGTGAGGGGAATGTTGGCCCACAGCGCCGTCCACTTCCCTTGAATTGCGTAAACCCCTCTAAGTTTCACTTTCAAAGCGATTTATAAGCCAGCTGAAAACATCTCTGTGAAGGCATATGGTGCCAGCCCTGCCTTGCCCGTGAGCACGTGAGCAGCATCGGAAGAAGCCCGGTGCTTTGTGGCCTTAGTTTCGGCTGTCAGGGTGGAGGAGGTGGCACAACGGGGACTTACCCCAGATACCCTGAGACAGGCCCGTCTGGCAAGGAATGTCCAACACTGACGTGAACCCTGACGCGCCGGGCTGGAGTCCCTACCAGCACACACTGAGCAGGGGCAATTCCGGCTCCCGTCATGGGCTCAAAAGGGGTGCTGTCCACCCTCGAAATCTACCCTCGGAGTTACGATAAATCAGAAAGCACAGTGAGAGCAGGATGCGATTTTTAAAAATTCCCAATAAGTCTTAGGTACAGAAACCTAATAGTCTAGGTCCCTCCTCAGTGTGACACTGGTTACAAATGCAGGCCTCTCAGCGCTGCTGCTGGACGGAGGGACAGTACCTCATAGTCAGAATCCCATGACAAAAGCACTTCTCCCTTATGGTCTTTAAAACTTACTATTTTTTAAAAATTAGATTTCTCACCTTTACAAGTTTGTTTTTGCTATAGGGCATGTGCACTTGCCAGAAAGAGACAAAGGACAGAAGCGAGAGATCACCCCCTAGGGGGATGACCACACCACATAGGGGGATGACCACTCCACAGTCCTGTCTGCTCCATGCACCTCTGGGGATTTTAGGCACACATGCACACATGCCCGACATGAGTTAAGGCTCCAGGTCCAGGACTTGAACCATGGTCGACTACATGGGAATCCAGCAACACAACCATTAGTCCGTCTGCTGGTCCCAGATTTCTCGCCTTCACTAGTTTGAGAACAATGACAACAAAATAAAAATGAGTAAATCAATGACTGGTGCAGAAGATAAGAGGCTCTTGGCTACATGTGTGCAGTGGAACTTTGGAAATCGATCTTCATACCCTTCTAGAGAGGCCGGCTCATGTCTGAGCCAACCGAGGCAAATGTCTCTGAATCCTGCTTTTCAGAACAGCAGTGAAACACTGAACTCTTTCGGATACAGCAAGGTCGGGGGAATTATTTCTCCAACATAGGTAAATGAGGCATGAAATAGAAAAGCGCAGTTCGGCGAGGGCCCCGGAGTGCGTCTGGCGAGTTGTTTTACGACGCCTCTCCCCGGGGCTGTGCAGAAGGACGCAGGGCCACTCACCGTGTCATAAGTGGTTACGATCTTCTTCAGGACCTCTGGCACGATCCCCTGCAGCTCCATCGTGGGGTACTGCTCGCTGAGGTTGAGGACCACCAGCGGGGTGTTGTCAGGCCCCAGGAAGCGGGGAGATACCGCCAGCATACACTGCATGAGGTTGGCCACGGACGAGAGGCCACACAGCTCCTTGAACGACACCACCGCGTTCTGTGAGACGGGAAGGAAGGAGTGCGAGGTCATGAGCCAGGGCCTTCATTTCTCACGGCCGTCCTACTCCGTAGGCCTGGTTATACTCGAGCCTCTCGGGACAGGAGCTACTAGCAATGGCACAGCAGGACTGGCGAGTGAGTATTTTATTCTGGGGATGGCTAATTCCCAAAGTAAATACAGTGATGGGCATCTGTCACACCAATTTATCAAAAGTGCTGAGAATGCCCATCAGTCAAATTCTTCCAAAGGGCAAAGCCTCTTCCAGATCAAAGATCACAGGAGCACAAATGTAATTATGGGCGAACCAAAGGAATGGCCACTCCAAAATGGCCTAGGAAACAATGTCAAATTGGGTTTTAAAAACCTATCAAAACAGCCACCCCAAAGGCAAGAAATTACTGCGAGGGTCACACTTGAATCTCTTTCACCTGATGTTGTTGTTGTTTTGCTTTAAAGTTCATCGGATCATTTCTCCTTTTTTTTTTTTTTGGAGAGGTTTTCGCTATAGGGCACGTGCGCTCACCAGAAAGGCAGAGAGACAGAAAGCGAGAAATCACCCCCCAGAGGGGATGGCCATGCTGCAATCCCTTCTCCTCCATTCTCTTCTTGGGATCTTGGGCACGCACGCACACGCGCCTGGCGTGAGTTTAAGCCACCAGGTCCGGGACTCAAACTGCAGTCGACTACATGGGAGTCCAGCGACATAGCCATTACTCTAACTGCTGGTCCTGGATCATTACTCCCTTGACAATGACCAAGAGTAACAGCGAGAGAGCAAGAGAAAGAGAGACAGAGAGAGGGGCGAGCCCCCGGCAGGGCCTGATGCAGCAATGTGCCCCAGCCCCAGCCATTCTTAGTGAAGGGCATGCACCGAGCCTGATGTACAGAGGGGCCAGGGAGGGACCTAAGGGCCTCCCGTGCCACGCAGCCTGGCCCAGCGCTGTGCTACTGCGGCACTGCCTGTTTGTACCCACTGGGTCCAACCCGAAGGACCTTTGAGGACACTGCTGTTCATGGGTCTGTCCAACAGAGGTCTTGGTTGCCCACGGCCTTTCCCTCACCTGCCTCCCTCCCTCCCTCCCTCCCTCCCTCTCTCTCTCTTCCCCCCCCCCACTCACCACACATACACCATTACGATACTCATAAGGAAGGCCATCAACGCCATAAATGCCGTGCGCCCACGTTCCTTGGGCAGGTACTAAGTGCTCTCTGCCCCGGGCGTATTTATTACGTAGCCCTTCACTAAGCCTTTCCTCGAGCCACGTGGCAGATGAGGAAGCTGGGCCCTGGCCTCAGCCCTGATTCACCAAGGTCACGCAGGTACTAGGCGAGGCGGCCAAGGTCTCCCCTGAAACCTGCAGGTGTGGAGGCCCAGGCGCTCTCCCAGTCCCAGTGTGGTCAGAGTGGGGGTCCAGATCCCCCGGCCTGGGGCTTGTGCTCTCTCATTCTCGGGGATCGTGGGAAGGAGCAGCACGTCATAGTCGTCATTCTGCTTTAACACGGGCATCGCACTGGCTCTGCTCAGATTCCCTCTGATCTTGGCTAGCTGGGATAGACCCTCTTACGATTATAAGGGTCCGTGATATTGTGTTATCTAAAGGGGGCTCCCCAGTCACTCTATCACACATCCCTGTCTCACCCACTGTTGGGAGCGTCATGACAAATTTTGCATAGAGAACTAAGTCATGACTTTCCCGATGACCTAACACTCTCTGTGCAGACGTCCCTGTACCTGTGGTTCCCCTATGGGTTAGGTGCCCTGCTTCCTGTCTGTCCCTGCTTCCAGAGGACCCACCGCACCAGAGGACACACCCTGCAGGAGGCAGCCCCTGTGCATGCTGGCCACAGCGTCCACCCAACTGCCAGGGCATGGCTGGTGCTCTGTGAACCTCGCCACCAGCTGCTCTGTGTGGTGTGGTGCAGACACGAGGTACATGCTGGGCACGGTGAGGCCAGAGTCCTGGCTCCTCCAGGGAATGCTGTCACACAGGGACAGCATTAGCCACTGGGCAGGCGCACTGCGGCTTATCTGAAGGGGAGGTTTGCCAATTACGTCATGCTCAGGAGGGAAAAACCTCCACATTTCTGCAAGGCCTTGCTCCAGAGAATCAATCTCCCTCTGTGGGAAGGTCTTTGTGTTCACGAGGAATCCACAGGACCGGAAGGTAGGGACATTGTTTTAAGCCAGGTTTTACTCGCTGGTGTCACCTTCACAGTAAGTCATTTTTAAAAATAAATGAAAGGACCAGCAGGTGGCATAGTGCTTAAGGTGCTAGACTCCCACATGGCTGGTTGTAGTTTGAGTCCTGGGACCTGTAGCTTGAAAATCACACCAGGTGGATGTGCGTGCGTGCCCAAAATCCCGAGAGGAGAATGGAGGAGAAGGGATTGCGGCGTGGCCGTCTCCCCGGGGAGATTTCTCACTTTCCCTCTCTCTGTCATTCTGGTGAGCACATGCACCCTATGGCTAAAACCTAAAACTAAGTAAGTAATAAACACACACGGATCACACAGGGCCCTTCTCACACTCAGTGGGTCAGGCCCTCGCTGTCCAGTTCTGAATCACCCTGGGCCTAGCATACGGCGAGATGTGTGGAGGCCCCATAATTAAACACATAAGCCCTCCCTGGTTGCTGTTAGCCATTACATATCTAAAAGGTAACTATTATCTTAGACGTCCAATAAATACAGACACTGCATGTCTTTTAAACAATTAGATTGTTTCTGGAATCACGTGGGGGCACAATACATAAACACATGGTCATTTAAGGGTCTGCTATCTTCCCGGCGCTCGAGCTGTGTCGGAAATGACTGGGTCCCTTTTCCTTTGAACTGGGACCCTTTTCCTGTGATGGATCATCAGCCTGTGTTTTGCTAAGGACCATTCGGAAGTACCAGAGATGCCCGTGGACGCTCTGAGGGAACAGACACGAGTGAAGCAGCCCTTGACAGAACCAGCTGGAGGGCGTGTAAGAAACAAGACTAAGGTTATCCAAAATGGAACCAAAACTTTCAACACCCACTGTAGTTTGGGACATTCCAGTGACCAGAAAAAGACGAGCAGCAAACATCCCAATAACCAACCGGAACTTACAAGTTATTCCCAATTAAATTCACACTTGTAAGGCAGGACCCTAAGTTTGCAGAAACCTCGGATGTGCATAAAGCAGGAAACCACCTAGCGGACCCTTCAATGCCAACACCCACCTGCATGTTCTCTCTCAGGTCCGTGGCGTCCCGGATCGGGGGCTGGGCATTCTTGAAGACCTCGTCTACCGTTTTAATCCACAGGGTTCTCAAAGATGCATATTCCCTGGATTTCTTCCCTTTCCTCACCGAAAGGCCCCTCTTGTGCGGCTTCCCTCCTCCTCGGCGGTTAGTGATGGCCACGTGGACGAACAGGGACGCGTGGGCCAGCGCCTCGCCGGTCAGGGCCTGCAGCGGCACGTGGCGGGAGCCGGTCTGCAGACACCCGCCGGGGGGGGGGGTA